CAAGTATTACAATCTGGCATATGATTTATCTGAGATTATATACAGCAGACTCCAAAACCATTACAACGTAAGAGGGGTGAAGCACGTGGCCTCGGTAAGCATAAGGCTCAGATATGGGTACCCACTCGGTGCCACAGCAGAAAATATCCCCCAAACCAGCACACTCATCTCTATGCACATGATCTTGGACACTTCACCAGTGTTGAGAGACATTCTATTGGCTGTTTTCAGATATATGATATATACCTCTTTTAATTTTTGAATAGTTGGAGTAATCTCTTCTTCAAGTATCTGGAAAATAAAGGAAAATCAGTACTTTCAGTATGTAAAGTACCATTTAAAAATAAAATGGCATGGAAGGTTGTAGAAAGACAAACTTAAAAAAAGAAAGAAAGAAAGAAATTACACCTTTTCTTTCATGTAAAATCGAGAGAAAAATTTTAGTGTTCTCCAAAAATGTTTTATATCAATTTAATTACCGTCTTAATTTCTTTCAGCTTAGCCTCCTTTTTTTCTATAGTTTTCTGGGCAGCTATTTTTTTGTATTCATACATCCTGGTTCCAGCTGCTTCTTCTATCATAGATAAAATCTGCAATGATAATTGTAAAAATGTTTTAAGAATCCAAGATGTGTTTCTTCCAAGTTTATCATAAGTATATCATGTATAGCCTTGACATTAGTAAACATACTATCAAAACAATGGTCCAGATGAATCATAACAGTAGATAAAAATTTACATATTACCCATAACCCTTACATACAAGAAATATTTCTGGACTTAAATTCTAAAATCATACTTTCTTCTACAAAGAGTTTCCAGAGGGTATTTCTTTTAAAATTGAAGTCAGTAATTCCCTCTCTTCTTTTCCTTCAATTACAAGTATGAAAAGATTTTTTTAAAAAAAAATGTTAGCACCATTCAGCTTTATTTTGAAAGTATCTTCTTAAAATTCACCCAAGTCAGAGTTCAGCCATGAAGGATGGCATCAAATTTAAGTCCCAACTGTAGCACATTCTTTAAGGACCTGGGCAAGTAACTCAATCTTCTCTGTGCTTCAGTTTCTTTATCCAGAGAAGTGATAATCTCACAGAATTGTTGAGAATTCAACAAAAGAATGCACATGACAAACACTAATGAATTACAGTGAAACCTGTGAGAGCCGGAACTTAATGGGGCTGCCTTGTTTTTCCTTGTCTCCAAAATTTTTTCTTTGACAAGGTACAGTCTTATCACTTCTCTGTTGCTCATTTTAGTGGAAAATATTTGAGTTTTGTTCTCTGACAGGTTGTTACCTTATACACGTTCTGGCTCTTGCACAGCTCTTACTGTATAATTTTGTAAGAAGGAGAATTTTGCCAGTATTCCTCTTCCAGAAGCTGCTACTTATTTTCAAACCCTTTCTCAAATTATTTTATCTTGGAAACCACTTAGATTTTTATATGTTTGGCTAGTCTCAAATTAGTTTTCCCCTAAGGTGCTATTTAAAGAAAATAAGCATGACCTATATTCAAACCCGACTGGTTATTATCAATTAGCTCCTTTTAATACAAACAACTAACTAAAAAGCCTTCACTCTTTTATGAAACATTCATACTTTTGTAACAACTAATAAATGATTTTCTCCTCTGTGTACCTGGAATGGTACTACCTATGTGAATCTCTGACAAAATTGTGAAAACATTCACTCAAATCCTTTCCCAGAGTTTCTTTCTCCCATGGAACACTGGTCAAGAAAGGCTGCTTCACAGTGAAAATCTTTTACTATGTGGCACAGTGCCAAACAGAAAACAAAAATTCCTTTACTAATCATTCTTAGATAAATAATGTTTCTCTCTCACTGCCGTGAAGTCGAATCTGACTCATAGCGGTATGGCTATGGAAGTAGACTGCCCAATCTTCCTTCCAAGGAGTGGCTGGTGGATCTGAACTGCCAGCCTTCTGGTTAGTAGTCAAATGCCTTAAGCAAACTTAATAATGAAAATAAAGTTTAAAAAATTAACTGCCTGGAAGATTAAAATGCTATTTTTACTATTCATAAACAACATTCTTACCTCTGGAGGTTTCATATTCAATACTTTTGTAATTCGACCCTGAAAATAAAATGACAAACTTACTATAATGATAACAAATTACATACAATGTAACCCACAGGCCTACATGTTTCTTTTCAATAAAGGTGTATGTATCCTAATATACGGATCCCAAGAGTCCAATCCCCAAGAGTCCAATCCCGTTGTAGTGGAGTTGCCAGGAGTTAAGGGCCTACTTGACAGCAGCTAGCAACAGCAGTAACATACTAATACATAAGTCTTCTGGAAGTTCTTTCTTTAACCTACATAAAAAGATGTTTATTAGATTTGAGACCAAAGATATCCCACAATTTTAGAATTTTAGCACCTCATGGACAGTGATACAAATCAAATGATACAAAGTTATTACACAATATAATTTATCAAATGATACAAGGGTAACTCAGACTAGACTTTAAGACAGTTACAATTAATGATATAGAAGGATTTACTACTAAAATAGCTATGCACATAAAAGTAGATAGATACATTTTAACATAATTATTGTTAAGGATTGAATTATGTCCCCCTCAAAATATGTGTTGTAAACTGTAACATCTTTTCTGTTATACCACCATTTGGGAATGGGTCATCAGTTATGTTAATAAGGTAGGATCAGTGTAGATATGGTGTATCAATCTCTTTTGAGATATACAAGAGATTAAATAAGCAAGCAGAGTAGATAGAGATGGAGTAAGGAGCCCAAACACAGAGATCTCCAAGGAACCAGGAAGCAGAACTTAAGAGATTCTTCCTTCAGAGCCGACAGAGAGACAAAGCCATCCCCTACAGCCAGTATTCTGAATTTAGATGTTTAGCCTCCTCTTAACCATGAGAAAATAAATTTCTCCTCATTAAAGCCATCCACTTGGAGTATTTCTGTTATAGCAACACTAGATAACTACAGACAATTACTGAACAGTTCTTAACTTTGTGAAGTGATAGTTGTCCAATAAATACATGACATACCTGCAGGCCTCAAA